ATATATATATATATATATATATATATATATATATATATTCTCTGAGGTCTGCGCTAATTTTAAATTCTGTATGTCTAATGATTGGGTTAGGCATCACAGCACAGGTTTAACAGGTCACGTCTGCCAGTAATATTCATAAAAAATCCTCATCGTGGTTATCTAATTGGCACAAATATCAGATGGAATTTTTTTAATCACTCCGGTCTTGTATTCCACCACACCGGAATGAATCATTATTTATCGTTTAAAATCCTACCAATAATAAAAAATAGTAAACTAACATTATCCTATAAATCGCGTTGACCAGAGGTCTGAGATATGTTCGAACGGGGATGTCCTATCATCAGAGTAGGGTGCCGGTGGATAGTGGGATTATATGTCACCAGGAAAGTTAACTGCACCCCGCATCAGCCGTAACCGAAAACAATCCGAACTACCCATGATTGATTCCCACATTCCAGGCGTGCCTATTAGCTAGCTCCCCCTTTACAGATATTTTAATGTGTTGAATAAATAATCATATTATTGATTAAGACTTAGCACAACTGACCTTGCTTTTGTGAAATTTACTCAATCATCCTTGCAGGCGGTATCAGTTCTTAGGAATTCCTCGATGGGACCAGTAGATTATGACACATTGTGAGTCTTTCTTCAAGTTCAGAAAAATGATCGATCATCGCCTAAACCTTGTGAACCACTGCGCAAAGGAGAAACTTGAATTCGTCCGGCGTATTAAGTGGGTAGTAGTGGGGTCACGGAAACTTAAAAACAGTCAAGTTAGGTCACCGAATCCATCCAATGCCGGTGAATCCCTTCAGGCCTTATTCATACTAGAAGCACGTCTGAAGGCTCTCGAAATTCTCAGGTTCAATTTCATTTTACGTCCCAACGCCCTGTTCGTTAGTATTCTCATACTGTTTTCGTTGCCGTTGGACGTAAAATCCATCCAGCGTTTTTCCTTAGGTTAACAATACGAAAACCAAACAACTTCAGTTAATTTTTGGCTTATTTTAATTTTCTGTACAGATGCATCTGATTTGCAGAGGGCCAAAATAGCCGACTGTACACTCCCCATTCAGTACCCTGTTCCTCAGATTATTGTCAAATCTCCTCACCCAATCAGCAACATATGCGTGCTTCAGAAGAAGTAACAATTCACACTACCTGTAACCGTAAACCTGACTGATCGACACTGGAGATCAAAACCAGCACGTTATCACGTGGTCAGAAATCCAGGATCGGACGATTAGTTTCTTCATCGAAAATTCACCGATTGCCCTACACCACCAATAAATTATTGTTTTTGGTCGTTGGGTAAGACTGTGGTTTACTATATTCGGTTAGAGGAGCTCGTGTTCTGAATCCGGGATTTCACTAGCCTTGGAAATGTTGTTTTAACAGGACTTATTTAAACAATCAACATCTTATTTCGTTCGAATGCAGATGTACTGGGAAGTTTTCTTATTTTCCTGTGTTGCATTGATCGCATTCCGATGAAACATCGGAAATGTCGCAGCTAAGGCAATTGCATTGAGAAATCGTTCACTTGAGTAAGTTTAAGACGTTGTCAGACACGACCCATTCACGTCCTCAGTGATGTTCATGGATCCGAGCTCTTGCCTCCCCTCATGATCTTCTCAATGAAAATTCAACTGACACTCTCGTATTTACGCATCAATTATATAAGCCAGGGCGTCTAACGCGGAGCTATTCAACCCAAACCAAGGGAGAACGAAACTGTGGAAAGCTGTCACCAGAGTACAGCAAGTACGCGGTTTTCCTGATATGAAGAAGAAGATGATGATGATGATGATGATGAAGACCACGTGGTGAATTCACGCTACAAGAGGAAAGATTTCTCACGCATCCCAATAGGCTTTACTATGTGGAGATTTTAGACAAGAAGCGTTAGCATTTGCTGACGCTGAACGAATGTTCACTTTGGGGATTCCACGGGGTAAATATAAGACAATAGTCTTTCAGAATGTAGGCCTTTGTAAAACCACTTCGATTTTCATCGCAGCCAATCAACATCATTATTTAGTATCCAGTAATCCGATGGTGTCCGTTACTAAGTTGACGTGCGCCCACATCCTGAAGTAGAAAATAAAATAAAAGATATTTCGTGTATTGCTGTATTTGAAGTTTTTGGCGTTGAAAATTTTTCAACCAGTATGATACCGTTGACTCACGAGAGAGATTCATCTTTCGGCACAGATTCGTGCATAGAATTGATGTGCTTCCTTAAAGCGAATGAAGAACTGAGCGATTTTCCGCATTGTGCACAAGTGAAACAACCTAATTTGCTATGCACAGTCTGAACGTGTTTTCGTAAGCCGTCTTTCTGAGAAAAAGTTTTACCGCATTCCTCACAAACTGAACGATCTTGCCCCTCGTGAATGATTTTCTGATGCCGTCGTAGACCTTTCCAAGATCTGAAGGATTTGTTACACTCCGAACATGGGTTGCCCGCCCTGAGTGATTTTAGCACTTGTTCACTCGATACTCTGTAGGGTCCAGTAAATTCACTGGGATGTTTTGCTTTCATGTGTCTACGAAGATCCGCTGGGTGTTTGTAAGCGTTTGAACACAGGTCACATTGGAAATCATGATGATCGTTGTGAGACTTCTGATGCCGCATTAACAACGTACGGTACTGAAATGTTTTTCCACATACTAAACATTGGTGAGCATTATTCCGGTCACCTCGTCCGGTTGGTTTTGATGCGTGCTCCGAAGTGGCATTCTGTTCACACGGAATTCCGTACTCTTCAGGAGAATGTGGTGTCGCTGTGGCGTTTGAAGTTGGTGCGGATTGAAGCGACACTATCTCATCACGCTGCCTTCTAACTTCTATCGATCCGGCTTCATACGACACCGCTGAGGTTTAAGGAATAAAGACGTGTGTTTATTCGGATGGGAAAATAATTCCCTTGAAATCTGGCATATATACGTATGACATGTCTTCTAATTTCGTTTAGTTTCTCAAAACAAATAATGTTGCATCAAATGTGAAAAGTGGAATGCAATGTCAGGACTCTATAATGTGTTGAAAACACATTTGGTTTCATAAAAAACGTCAAATTCAGTCTGGCTGATTCGACTTGCATACCAACGGTAGTGAAATATCGAGCACTTGTGCAATGTTTGAATGGGCACCGGTGAGTTCAAACGGACAAAAAGAATTCTGTCTCGTCTGCAAACTTCATTGAGCACTGTGCTAAAAACGGGGTATCGGAATCAACCATAACGGGCAGCGTGTAAGCCATCTTGCCTCGACGTTAGCGATTACTTCCTTGTTGTATTCGAAAACGCCTATAAGTTACTCCCATCAGATAGCACAAATAGAGATCAAGGCAGCCTCAGAAAAATAAAATTGCCCAGCTCAGCAAACAAGCCAACGACCAACTACGCTACCTGAGCTACCGACACTTTTCCCCCATAGAAAGCCTCAGAACACCATTTTGCTTCTGAGTAATCCGGCCCGTCAAGAGACTAACGGTGAAACCTAGAAACTATCTGAAATTAGCCAACAGCAGAGCTACTGTGAGGCTGACATTTTTGAAGTGATGATCTGGCCTCCTTGGTACTATATATTGAGTTTCACTTGTGAATTCTCGCACTACAAAATGCCGTATTCTTCAAAACGCTTTCGTTCGACCCCAGTTCAAAAGCATTCTGGACTGCATTTGACCAATTCTTCTCCACCATTCACGAAATTAAACCGGTCATTCACCGCTTGAATATGTGGTTGCTTCAGAAAACTTCAGAAAGGACCATCTCCTTATTAGTTTAACAGATTTAGGCTACAAATGTGACTAAATACACTTGTTACGCGACTCATGAGCAGTTTAACGAGATCAGGGATGAAAATTGTCGTTCACTAAAGACGTATTCAGACAAATCAAAGCTTTCTTGTTCACCTAATATGGAATTGGATGATACAAAAGATCTGTGGCACCATGTAATAACTTACCCAGTGGCGTGTATTGTGCAAACAGTGTGTCCAGTTCCGACACTAAAGTAATAGCAAATAGCATGATGAAGCCTTGGTATCCGGCTTTATTCAACAAAACCATAGAGGTTGGCAATCATGCAAAGCAAATAGCCTTTTAAGTGCGGTATTTCCATATCGGACAAACTAGGTTGGTACATGTTTGCGAAGATTCTGGTGTCACGTCCTACGTTTGCATAAACGACACAATATACACGTCGACAACCGCTTAATATGGTATCCCAGGTATTATTACTCTAAATTACGGAAACCTTTTGTTAAGTCTATCACAGTCAAGTAAGGTATGCATGTTTTCTTGGTTGAAGTATACCTCAATCAAACCAGTCAATGATTTCTTTGACATTTCAGAACAGAGTATACGTTTTCCGTCTAACCCCTAAATGCATAACAGATAGAGAAATCCATTGGACTTATCCATACCGGCTATAATTCGCTAGTTTTACCTTCCTCGAACTCGCGCAAAACGGAAAAATTCAGACAGCTTACATACTCCCCGTCAAATTAAGTTCTCCACTCTGTTGCTGAAGCCCACCCGGATTTCGCTTGGTAAGCTCCAGCTAATATGAAGAAGCAGCATTTCCAGGACACATCGGCTCCCACAAATCTACACAAACAAACAAATATCATATGAATTATTGGGGGTCGAACAAACAGCGAGAGGGAATACCGAAGTCCGTTTGTCAGGTGTCTCAGATGTTGAACCTATCATGTCATAGTCTGTATTCCAACAGATATGACTGAGCTAGTTCAGAGATGAAGGCGCGAATCTACTACCCGGAATTTCCGTGGCCCAAAGCAAACCACAGTATACTGACTAATCCTGTCCAGGCTTGGGTAACCTGACGGAACCACAGACCCTGTAAGTCCACCGAGCCGCATAGCGTCTAAGCACCAAAACGGTGTCACACATGGGTGAGTATTACTACTTCCGCTGTTAATTCTAAAACATGATGTCTTCATATGCATGTTTACCCTTCGGTGGATTCAGCAAATATGCCATCCATGTATTTCCAACGATATCACGTTCTCTTTGTGCATGACCGACATGATGAAATATACTCCTGTGAAGAAAAATTGATGTTTATCAGAGGGTCCGCTGAATCCTCGCTTATTACGTTCGTCAACAAAGACCTCCCACGCTTCGTTTGACGCAATTTTCAATGCAAGGGAGTCTTGAAGTGACACGTAACACAAAAGCGATATTGTGCTAGGATTACATTGTATTCCCAGTAAACCCCAAATGAATCTGAAAATGGTGTTATGACCACTTCCAGTTCAATTTATCACCTACATACTTCTCCACATTTGAGGACAATGAATGCATGTATTTTTTGAAAACACCGCGAAAGGTGAACCCATCAAAGTAAATAGACACTTATTGTTCACTGGTGCTTGCCCCTAGGATGACTCGATTAAAACTCACGGTGATTTTGTGCCACTGCCAAATTTTGGAGAAACAAGAATGAAAGTAAAATCCCTGTACAATCGAAAGGCATTTTTCCTGAGGAACTTCGATTGATCCGGCTACGCTGAACCATTCGGTGTAATTTATTATGTCTTCCTAATGAGTATATCCCTCGCATAGCAGCGGTCACCGATACACTAGCACAGACAACACTCGTTTTTTTTTCGTGAAAGGCCTACCAATAAGAGATTCAGTCACGGCGGTTGTTCGTCTTCTTATTCGTTTACTCTGTTCTATTCAACAACAATTCTGTGTAGCAAAATGTGTGATCGGATTCCTCAAACACTGTCTGTGCTAGAGCCTTTGTCCCCATTGGTCTAAGCGAGTGAACGTAAAAGAACCTAAAATATCTGTGTCCTGCCTACTCAGATTACTCAAATAAATATTACGGGTGGCCGAATGACAGTGAAAACACGAAGAATGGTAAATATAGAGATCTTCTAGTGTCTTGACAACACTGAAATCAATGCTCACAATCAGAGTTTTAGAAAGCTGAGGATAATCAAAGTTTATCTCGTGATAACAGATCGGATAGGTAGGATAACTAAGCAAAATATGACCTGTGGCGTAAGCATCAAGTTGGTGCTGTTGAAACAGAGGAGTGTGTTCCACCTATTATAGTGACCAAACGGAACTCCCGAGTACATAGCTTTCGGTCGTATAGGCGAGGGGGAATCGCTGAAGTGAGAATTAGCTTGTGGCCTTTGACGCAATCGAGTTCGGCATTTTAAACAGATATCTTCGGCCACAAAGTAATGTTTTCGGTATCCATCTGTCAACGAGTGTGATATTGTTTCCCATTATTTTGATATCACCAAGTTCTCGCAATTCTGGTTGATAACTCCTAGTTCCGCTTTACTCCACGTGCGCTCTAGTGCGAAGAATACACGTTGCGTCACCAACGTAATTGAAGCCTTCACATCTCCCTATTGTTGCGGCATTCGGGATATTTCAGCAAGTGTTTTCGGGCATAAAACAACTAATAAGTCTCAGCCTAATACCGGCAACAAGCTTGAGGGGTGGTCTTCACGCGCAATATACGGTTGGAGAGCCACTGAGATGTTATTCTGTCATGTCCGCCTTAAATATGACATTAAGTTGTAAATGAGCGTACTCGGCCAAATAGTTATCGATTTCACCATTCATTCTTATTGATGTGACCCGCTTTTGCTTACCAATGGAGATACATCATCTTAGCCACATGCGCCACCTGTATTCGTGTAAGTAAAAATTATTAGTTGCCACTGAATGGCTTCGAAGTTCTCCGGTGTCATTATCGTCACCAATAATCTAGTGAGTAGCGAAAAGTAGACGACCAGTTTGATGTTATGGGGAAGAACCTAGATGTCAACTACAGGATTGGCACATAAGAGTTTTTGAAACCAAAAAACCCCGACAACACGTCCAACTAGTAACTTCGAGTTTCGCCAGAATCAGGTAGAATTTTAGGTGGAGCTGTTGCATCTCACGACAAACGTTCACAAGCGAAGTTCTGGCAACGGATGCCTGGTGACGTCACATCGAGCTTTAAGATCTTACTGGCTCATAATAAATTAAGTTCAACAATCCAACGAAACTGTGGGCCGTTCAACTAATTGGGTTTAACTTAGATGGTGCGATGGCGTATTTTGAATGAATTGCGTCCAACTAGAAAAATTACATTCCTGATGGGCTCAGTTTGATCTGGTATATACTGAGAAGTTCTGCCTGATCCGTCGGCGTCACAAGCGGCGTCTATTGGCGCAGCAATGACGAGGCCATGCCTGAATGCCTGAATGCGACGCACTACAAGAACAGTTTAGATGATGAATTACTTTGGTGGATCAAACGATGCGGGGAATGTCGTGCCACGAACTCTGAGCAGCTCATTAACAATCTCTCACGTGAATACTGTATCAGACCCCATTAAATGGTTAGCGTGAGGGTAGCGTTACAAAATAGGTAGCAACTCGTTGGTGTTTGGAATCCAGTTTCCATTTCACGAAAACGGGGGATAAATGCTGTCAGCAAAAATCATGGCTATTATGTATACGGGAAGAAGGCAGTTAATGGAACAATCTGGTGACCCAAGCTTTATAAAAAAAAATTCAGAAATACCCGGGGTGAACTTTTGGAAGCCAGGGCAAAATTGCGCATATTCAATCAGTTCAATCAGCGTCAAACCGGACCTGCGACGGCATTGTTGGACTACTGGAAAGCATCCGAGTGACCTTTCCATTTAAAGTTTCAGAGATGAAACATTAGAGAATTTGAAGCTGAAACTTTTGTCACAGCTACAATTTGAAAAATAAACGCTAATTGCATTGTTCACTTTGTAGATAAACTCCTAATTAAACTTTTTGAAAATTACTCCGAAAATTGTAGTGCGTTTGCATTCAAAGGATATTTTTTAACCAGTTCCGTGCAGCTTGTGGGCAAAATTGAACCATGAAAGGTGAAATTTTATATGCTGAACCTTAGTTCTCATGATCAGCGGCGAGCGATTCTGGGCATGTAAGGAAACTCAGCGTACAATGACACAAGTGCTGGTTGCAGAAACAGTGCTGCAAAAGTGGGTTATAAATGAACTTCATTTCCAATGTACTATGTTGCAGATGTGCATGCATGTTTACACCGTGATGGACGAATGCATCAGGCTTCAGAACGGGTTGCCTTGGTGCATGTTTGTGATATCTGGTCTGTTCGAGCAGCGAAACAAAGACATCTCCATGCCGTTGACAGTCGTCATCTCAGAAACGTAGATGTTTAACTAGGTTGCACCTAATCCGTAACAAGAAAATTAGAAAGCAATTGAGGGTTTGTTTAACAGTGACTGCTGGTAATGTTTTGGAATATTGGTAGCTCGGGTATATTGGTTGGTAATTGATCAGGGGGCTCTTGATCTGTTCGCCGAGCTTGGCAATTGATTTGCAAACGTTTCGTCACCATTCGAGGAGACATCTTCAGTGCGCTGTTGGTTGGGTAGTTCCTCTCTTCGTGCCTGCGTTTATATAGTCTACAAAGAGCAGCCTTTGCGCTGTAACCTGGATTCTGATTGGCCCGTTCTTGATCTTGCGTGGTGGTCGGCTTATCTGTTGGTTTGTGGCGTGCCTCCTATCTTTAGTAGCCTGCTGTTCTATTGATTTCTTCTTTGAGTCCTTGTCCGGCCTCGGGTTCTGTGGTTCTGGATTTCCTGTGTCCTCAGAGGCTGGTAGGCAGGATCAATCTCAATGTGCCTGTTTATTGCTCCACCAGTGGAGTACCACGCCTCCATGAACTCGCGTTCTTTCTTTGTTCTTGCTTGGCCCAGTATTC